TCGTCCATGGGGAAGCCTGACTGGGCTGTCAGCACCGAGTTTGGTAGGCTTAAGAGATCATCATCATTTGAGCTTGGAAATGAGGAGCCAGATTTATCATGGGTTCAGTCCCTTGTCAGAGACTCTCCACAAGAGATGAAGGAAAAGTCTGTACAGTATGTTGCTGGTGCTGCTACTTCAGCTGAGGGCGCAAATTTAGATCACCAAATTGATCAAATGGATCCTTCTGCTTTGACTGCATTGCTTGATCAAATGCAGCTTGACCATCTCATTGCTCAGTAAGATAAAAAAAGTTTATCTTTGCTGGTCTTGAGGTTTTGAAAGTCGCAAGGTTTTGGTAAATACAGCAAGTTTTCAATTTTTTTGGTTTTTGTTGCCGGTGGCTTTTGGAAGATGGTAATTGCATCCTAAAAAGGTCCAAGGTGAAAAGGTCCAAAATTGTGGAGGAAAACCATTTTTCTTTATTCTAGTCTCATTTCAAGAAGATTTTAGAAGGATGAGGAAAGATTGGGTTTACTTGAGTAAGCAGGCCCTGTTTAGGTTATTACTCTCCTAATTACCAATATTTTTGCATTATTAGGTTCATTTGTCATTGTTTCTTTCTCTTTATCCATCGCCATAATGTTTCTTTGAAGTGGAGCTACTGATGCTTGGATAATCTTTATGGCGATGCGGTTGTTACTTTGAGGAGTTCATAATTTGTTCATTGGTTAACATCCATATTCTTTAGGGGGTAAAGAAAAGGAGCATGTTGCTGATGCAGATAATTTCTGTGGACTCTGATGTTGGAACTCCAAAATAATACCATACAGTTGTCAGAATTGCAGAGTAGAGGAAGATGAAAGAACTACCTATAGTTTTATATATGTAAAGCATGTAACTTTTACTGTTATTGGTACCATTTATTACTCTTGATTCTATGCATGTGTTCTTTCTTCCTTTAATGCTAGTTGCATTTTTATTCCTAGTGTTTTCCTATGTCATGTCATCACATATATTATACTCTTGGCAATGGTGCTGATTGGAGAATTAGTTGAGCCATGGGAACCTGATCCATAGTGGATTCCAAATCCCAATATCCAAAAGCTGGATGTGAGTTTGTGGGAGATGTGGACATGGGAATATGGATGCCAGAAAAGGCTATCTACTTATGGATTCTACCAATCCGTGTGCAGATCAGATGCTTGAGAAAATGTTTTATATAATCTAGGAATTATGAATCTTTCTTTCTAAGAGATGATGATGATGATGGTGATGACAATGAAGCTTTTGCACACCAAAATAAATAAATAAAGAAGGATGCGTTTATGGCAATGAATTGCACTCGATCTTCATTTGGTGATGCAACTTTTATACGGCATGTGGGTTCGATATTCTATGATTCTGGATTTGATGCTCTTGATAACAGATGTCAGTGGTAGAAAATGATTTTTACTGGGATCATCTCCACCTGTTCTTTCCTACGATTATTTGCTTGAGAGAATCACATTCACCATATCTTGATCAGATAAAATCTTATTCCTTTTGATCAAGTGTTTTTTGCCCTGAAAGGAAACTCGTGTATTCTCTAGCATTATCCTCTCATTCTCTAGTGTAAGCCCCTATTTCAGATTTTAATCAGGGCTTTTTGAGTCCATACACGAATACTAACAATTAGGGTAGGGCATGTTATTATTGATAGAACTCTTGTTAAACAAGGTTATCCTTTTTAAAACGCCGTGATTCTCTTCACAGACAGTGTACGGTGAAATTCAAACTCGATTAGACACCGTTGTTTGTGAAATGACATATTATTGGTGTTATTAGGGTTTAGGTATTTGTTGTTTCAATATATATTCATAAAGCTTTTTGAATGTATGCTAGAAACAATTTCAATTTCTTCTCCCCTCACCTCCTTCTAGGGGGAATCCAAAAACTCGTGATTTTGAGCGTTGGTGCTCAATCTTTATTTATTTGGTAAATAAAAGTTTGAGTGAGTTCGACTCCGATCACTACGATGGGTCCAGGCATGTCCTGAGACCCATAACTCGCTTACAGAGACTCTTACGGATCGCCCACAAGTATATCCATTATATCATCAGCAGGATTCGAATATACAAAATTTTTGTAAAAAAGCAGTCCGTTCTTATCAATTGAGCCAACTTGTATTTGCGGTGGTGCTCGTTCCACGATAGCAGACTACCTTGCTAGCTAGCTAGCTTAGCGCAGAAGGCATGGTGCTTTGTCATCTAGATGTTGAGCAATATGCCATGAGAACCTATCATCCAATTAGAATGGGTCTAAATTTAATTCATTGAACCCCAAAATAAAGGTCTCTTTAATTAAAGACTAGTCATTTTCTTGAATTAACATGCATGAGAAGAAAATGAAAAGAAGAGGTAAAAGGGGTGGAAAAAAGTAGTGTCACGTCCGTGTTGTCTTTCGGTGCCCATGCAACCGGGGAACTTTTTCCTTGTCCGTTCTAAGTTTTTCAAACTAGTACAAGAAAAGAAGTTATAGTAAACGGGAAGGAAACTTGACCCCCTCAACAACACAAAACCAAAAAAATATTGACCACAAAGTAAATAAGTATATAAATATATAAATATTAAAAAAAAAAAGGCATAGAGTAAGTTGGAGAAAGAAACAAGACTGTGATAACAACATTTGATAAATTATTGAAGCAAATGGCCATGTCAAACAATGAATGACAATTAAGTCATTAACTAGTACCAACATTTGAATCATATATGAATTTAACGTCCCATCAATCCCTAACTCTTTCCCCCCAAAACCCTGAGAAAAAATCAAAGAAAGGTAGCCCATCAAGTTGAAACAGGGGCTATAATATTTGTTAAACAAGAATGTTCTATGCGGCTGTGCCATGTTTGTTAGGCAATGCAGACAGGGGCGGATTTAAGGTGGGGGCACTGGGGGCATGGGCCCCCACTGCCTCCCCTCAAATTTGTATAATAGTTATACAATTTTGATATAATCGTAAAGGTGCCCCAGAGTTTTTTTAGAACAAATGTGAAAAAATAGATCACAAATTTTATATCATTCACTTTCCTCCCCTGGTCTCCCATTTTTTCCCCCAACAGAGCCAAGTACCAATTATATCAGTCTTTTCTTTTGGTCCCCACTCCCCAATTCCCTTTCCTCCTCTGGCCCCCATTTTCCCTTCACAACCGACGGCTCTTCTTTCTTCCCCCATTTATACTTGTTGGTGAATTTATTATTTTTTTGCTTAAAAAAATTAGAAAAAGAGTAGATAAAAAATTTTGATGTTATTTTTGCCCCCACTAACATTTTTTTCTGGCTCCGCCCCTGAATGCAGAGTACTTACTTTAAGAGTCCTCAGACAAAGGTTAAAGGGATTGAGATTCTCTGAGATCATATCAGGAAATGATGATGTTAAAGATGAAAAATGTACCACAACCTTCTTTACTTTTCTTTCCTTTTTTTTTTGGGTTTTTTTTTTAAGTTTTGATTTCTTCTTTTATTTATCGACATTCGCTTCATATATATCCAAAAAAAAATTAAGATGAAAAATGTGGCACCATAGAGCTGAGATTGGTCACGTACACAGCATTCAAATACGGAGTATATGTCATTTTACATGCACAGAAAGATACTTTTCATCTCAAAAACCTTGTGTTTGGATTGCATTTTTCATGATTTTTCATGGAAAAAATACTGTAGCGATTTGATGTATGTGAGGGAAAAAGGTAATAGGGAAATGTGATCACGGAAAATGACGTAATTTTCCGACGGAAAACCGCAATCCAAACAAGGCAGAACATTGGTAGGTTTAGGGTTTAAATATGAGCCACACAGTAGTATTAATATGAGTGGTTTTGGTGGATGAAGGCACCTAATTTTGGAAATAACCATTAGTAGCATCAAAATACAATGAGTGGAGCTAATTATCACCCTAAACAATTTATTCCGTGATGCGGTCCTCAAATAATTTTCAAGACTTGATTTTAAATTTTCATTTTAAAATAACATATTTTGTATTCTTAACTGCTTTTCATATCCCGATTTTATTTTAGATTTTTTAGCCTAAAAAACTAAAAAAAAAAAAAGAAATCAAAAGAATCTATTTCAATACTTTTTTATTCCGATTTTCTAAAACTAGCTATTATACACTAGCAGTTAAGAACGGCGCCGTTATTCCTTTTTCAAGTTTATATATATATAACCTACAATTATTATCTTACTTTGCATTTGCATTTTTTTTTCTAATTAATTTTACTTTTTAAAAAATTTAACATCTGAAATATATGTTTTGGATACATGTTTTGGAAGGTTAAAAATATGTAAAGCAACATAGTTTAGAAAAAAAGAGAAGAAGTGCTTCGATTGCGACGTGTGCCAAAATAGCCAAAACAACCATTATCTATTTTGGCAAAGAATGAATAATTGGTTTAAATTGAAAAAGTAATCCACTGAATTTTCTCGAGATATTTCTGTATTCCCGTAAAATAATACCTCGATATATTATTATATGCCATAATGGGTCAAAGAAATTTAAAAGGGAAAAAAAATGCTTATTCTTGTTTTTAGGTGGCATAAGAATCAACGCAATCACCAACCTTTCATGAAGGGGTGCTTTTATCTCATTAACTTAGTCAGACTTTTAAGTGCGAGTCCAAAAACACCTCTTTAGGAGTTAGGCATGACTTTCCGCCTTTCTTAGGTGGAGTGATGAGGCGTGATACCAAACAGATTCCATATTCACGCCTTAAGGAGGTAGGTTGCGATCTCGCAGATGGCAGGTATAGTGCGGGTACTAAAAACGTTAACGCTTTTATGCTGCCCCCAGCCGTAGAGGGCAAGAGGCGTGATATAGATCTTGCTATCAGTTCCACGTCTTTAGATTTTGCACGCTGACACCTCTCATTAAAACTTGACAGAGAAAGCATGGTAAGGTTCTTATGGCTCTAATGTAATCTAACATTTGGCTTAAAAGGAAAAAGGATATGAAGAAAATCTAACCTAATTTTTCCTCCTCCTCCTTCTTTTCCTTCTTTTTTTTTTTTTTTTTTTTTTTTTTTGTTTTTTGGCAGTTTTACAAACACATTGATCATATGGATATCATTTGCCTCATACAGCTCTCAAGATGCTATTGATACAACAAAGAATGAAAAAGTAGTGATTTATACCCACTAATATTATGGCCATCTAATATTATCAGCCACATATTCCTAAATGATGGCAGGAATTCTTCCAAAACCAAGAAAAATGAGGCGGTGCAAATCCAGCTATAATAAGCAGAAATTATCCCCGGAGATAGCGCCAAGGTCCTGTTCTGGTACCTATCCTGCAGGTGTAAAAATGGAAATTAAGTAACAATTTACATATTTGACAATATTTCATGAAATTATAGCCTGAATGGAAATGTGAAGGGAAAGGTTCTCTCCTGTAGCTACAAGGGAAAAAAGAGTGTTTCTTTTCTATTGATTATGGAGAAATAACCATTAACCAATGCCAGATTACCTCCAAAATCCAGCTAACGCCCGCAAACTCATGAAGATAGATAATGCAAGCCATATACCAACAAAACCAAATCTCGAGGACAGCAATAGCAAGAGTATTATACTGACTGCTGCCACAGAAATCTGCAGGAGAAAATACAAGATAAGCTAAACTTTGTCTATGGTTTCTTGAGAAGCAGGGAAATTTCTTTTTAACTTGTGCTCATACCGGCAAAATATCATATGATAGACATGATGGACAGGACTATGAGGAAATGCACAAGACCTCTCTCTAGGCAAGCATCACGAGTAGAAAGGAAAAGTTGAAGGGTTGAAACTTGCCATGGAGTAGGCAGAATAAGAAAAATCAGATGCTCCATAGTTTATTCCATCAAAAACAAAGGCCACAGAGTTAATTGGCTGCGTCACTACAACAAACTGCATTCAACCGTTAGTATACATTTTAACCGATACTGGAAACTCAAAAGAAGATCTTCGTGGAAAGCAAAATATACCGGGATGCCCAAACTTAAAAGATGGAGAACATTTATATCTGCTGTGAAAATTGTTGATGCATATTTCAGTATAACAATGACAATGAGTGAAAGAACCAGCCCAAGTACCAATCCCAACTGCAGAGTTGAAGATCTTGTCAGTACAGAATATAGATAGGAAAAAAATATAAGAAAAAGGCAGAGATGAATGAAAGTAACAAGAAGTTCTTAAAAGTATAAACAGTGGAAGTACCTGTAAGACACGAGAGGCAGTAGTTGTGGCTCTCTCGTAGTCATTTTTTGCAAATGCACTGGCAAGAATGGCCTACAAAACAATTAAAACAAAGCTACCTATGTCTTAACATCAACAAATCAAAAGTACATTCTAAAATTTGAGCAAAAAATGGGATAAAGCGTTGAATATTATGCAAAACAAAGGAATTAGTCCACTCAAAAGTAAGACTTAAACATGGTGTTCAATGAGTTATCTAGCTTCGGCCTTAAATGAATTAATCAGCTTTTCTAGTGCTTGGACTGCTAAATACTTGTTATGCTTGAAATGATATTTCAAATAGTTTGGACAAGAAACAGACTCATTCACATACATTTCACATGCTTATAGTTAGAATATACTAGTTATAGATGATCACGAACTCTCAGATTATATACATAACCACTATGGTTCCAATTTTCTAGACATTATTCAGCGGTCATCATCTTTAAGTTGAGTGTGCTTCTTTAAGCCTCAGATAAGCAAAATTAAGTACAGATTAACTAATAATAAATTGCATCATTTATCAAAAACAAAAGACAATTAATGTACACTGAATTAATGATCCTTACTTGTCCCGATACGGCCAATCCATCAGCAAGTAATGAGGTTGCCAGCCAAACCTGCAAGCAGACCTGGAAAGCAGCCATCGATGTTGATCCCACCCTTGCAGCCAATGAAGCTGCCAAGGTTACGCAGAATGTTGCTGCTATGACTCTCAATAATAGCAGAAATCCTGATCCCAAGTATGCAAAATAAATTAGTATTTCCATGCATATACATTTCCATCTATAAACAGGCGGAAGAAGTTAAGTGAATGCTTTGGGGGAAGAGAGGAAGAGACAAATAAGCATAGATGGTAAATCAGCCAAGAGATCAAATATAGTGTATTTGATTGAAAATTTCATGAAATAAATGGTTTCATTTGCAAAACCAGATACTGAGAGTACAAAACTACAAATTTCAATTGCTAGAACAGATGAAGAATTTAGAAACTATGTCATGTTGCAGGTAGACACTCTGCTAATCGAGAAATAAAGCTTTTATGAATTACTTAGCATCCTGGTTTTTCCTTCACAAAATTTTCATTTATTTTTAACAAATTGAACAATAGTATGTCTTTGCAAACTTTTTCCTTTGAAATATGCAAAGCATCATTTATACTGCAAAGAAGATTCAATAACTATCATGAAACTATCATCCCAATATATTTTTTCTCTTCTTTTCTCCTTTTGCAGGTATGGAGAAGGATTTGCATTTTTAGGGCCACGCAAACATACTTGAGTGGTGTCCGATTTCACTTGTAAACTCTGGGTATGATAAAAGTAAGAGATAATTGTTGTACAAGTTATATGTCAGTTATCACTTCCTTTTCAGCATGAGACTGCTAATTGCAGGTCTACAATATGTGCATGGATATTTGCCTACATCCCTGGTTGTATTCAATTCAAAAGGTACCAATTTATAGAAACAAGCATTGATGGAAGCTCTTTTCTTGCATTAAGGTAATAGCAACGAGTATTGGTTGACTGCTAGTCAAAGGAAGAAGAATTGGACCCATAAATGGGGCACGTAGAGCATCATAAATTATTTTCACCATGCTTCAACAGAATTACCCTATTGTTACTCTTAGAAAGAGAAGTATAAATATTTGCATAGCAGTCCACTTAAGGAGAAGCTTCTTGTGACATTATTAAAGAGGCAGGTTATTATCTTTTATACCACGTGTGGTGGTGTGACTAGAAGCATAGATCTGAAAGACTAAGTTACTGGTTTTGTTTTCTGAAAAATCAATTATTCCACAACAGAATTAAATCTAATACCAAATTTCACCAACTCAAGTGATAACTCAAATCTCATATTTTAATTTATGTACTGAAATAAAAGTTGTCAATATGCTTAGTTGGTAAATTGTTTATGGATTGGCAAGGAAGAAGTATTCCACCTGGCTTATGCATTCAATCAGCAACAACCCTGCAGTTCTAAGGTGATAAAGAAACTCCCCCATCATGCAGGTTACAGGAGGTATATGATGTTGGACAACACAATTAATGGATTGATGTCTTTAGCATCAGACATTACTCACCATTCTTAAGAAACCGACCCAACTGCAGATCTTTGATACTAGGGGCTAAAAGATCTACTTCACTCATTAATCTCCACATAAGTATTAGGGAAATAAAGTACCTGCAATTATTTAAAGACCAAATGAGAAGAAACTAAAATGAGCAAAGAATACAAAAATTACAAGTTTAGATAAAATTACAAATAATTTACAACAGGTGAAACTTAAATCTTACTGGGAGATAACATGGGCAATGGCTGCACCAGTAACACCTAAACCAAACAGGAAAATGAATATTGGGTCCAGAATTATGTTTGTCAGATCTCCAATCACTGCGTTCCAGTAAACAATGTCAGCCTAATTGCATAGGGTAACAATTTTCACATACAAGAGCAGATCGGTAAAAATCTGTCACAAAAGATAGTAAATGTATAAAACTAGGCTGATTCATTTGTCCACTAGTACCCCAAAAGCAAGAGAAACATAAATATTAGTCAGAAAAAAAAGGTGCCTAAGAAACTTCAAAGCTTGCTTACTGGTTGCATAAAGAGGGGTTTTTGTATCCTTGAATCCACGAAAGACACCCTGCATGGCCAAGGAAAGGAGGACAGCTGGAGCGCCAAGTGACCTCACTATTAAGTACTTTTGGGCTGGGTTCAGCATAGGTGAATTCTACATGGAGAAAACAAAGCACTGTTATTTCATTTGGTTGCAGTAATGATCATTGATGATACAGTGGATACTGTGACAAGTAAGATAAAATGCTATTTGTAGAAATGTAAGCAATCCTGCATTAGATAATATTGTATAATCAGTTATCTTTATGAAACATCAACTGACTACTCCAAAACCCAATTACATTCTAATCCTTAAGAAAATTTTGAATTTTGAAAGTTTAGAGCAGATACTCACACATTCAAGGCTAAGGAACAAACTTGACAATATTACAGCTTTGGGTATTAATTTATATCCTCATCAGTGAGAAATGAAAAAAAAAACTTTGGTCATTACAATAATACACACCCAGTTGCTCTGTTTGCAAGAAACAACTGAATGACTCATAGAAATCTTGATAAAATTTGAATTGATCCTAGCTTAGACATAGATCTTAAAGCAAAAGAAGTACCATCTCCCCAAATGGACAAATGACCTACATCTTGTAAGCTAAGGATTAGACTTGAAGAGAAGATTCTTCTTGTCCAAAACAAGGTTGATGAGTTAAATTTGAAAGTACCAATGGAGGTCTCAACAAGAATCTGGTACAATGCTTAATATTCACAATACATTCAACATGGTGAGATGTATAACATTCAGGTGAGGTATCATGTATTGCTTCTTACAATTCCATAAAATCTACTGACGAAGAACTAGGTGCAAGATAGGGATTAAACCAAAAATACAACTTAATATTTCTGTTCCACCAGACTATTTATCTTTCAAATTTGAAAGACATGAAGTAAATTAGAAAAAGCAAAACGCCCTGCTTAAAGAGTATATCTGATTCTTAAAGAGTTGCTCCATGGATTCTTTTTAACGACTTCACTCATATAGGAAACAACTTAAACAAAATTTGAATATCAACAAGAAGAAACTTCATTCAAGTTGAGCTATGAGATGTTCTGTTTATACTGAGGAGACCACCTAAAAAATGGTGAAGGCTGTGTGAAAGAACCATAAGTGATTACTAATATTAAGAAGATTAACTTACAGATTCTACACCCATGTAGTTTAACAAGGGTTTTGCAGCAAAAATGAGGAAAATTGCTTGGATGATACCAAGTATACAACCAATGAGCAATGCTGATGAAGCGGAAGAGTTATGCCTGCTGTTCCGCCTACCATCAACCACCTTCCCTTGGCTACTGCTGAATGATTTGCTACTCAATTCTGTATCAAGGCAGAGAACATCGGAAAAGTTCACAACAGCAGGAGCAAGATTGCTTATTTAACTAACAACTGTAATCAAATAGATAACATTGAAAAAGTGAATTTTCATATTTTCAACAAAAAAGGAATTATCACAGCTCTTTTTTCTACGGATGGCAAAGAGAAAAATAGTCAAAGCCTTACCCACTTTCGGTAGCAACTCTTCCTTTTCGCCATCTGCAGCAAAACCATTCTCCACTATTTCAATTTCTTGTGAATCAATGCTCAAACTTTTAGTAGCATCTTCTTCAGCAACAAAAGAAGTTGTCACACTAACGAGTGGGAATATTGCAATTTTTGATGCTTGGTTAAATACAGCAATGGCGACACCTACAGCTGCAAGTTCCACTGGACCTACATGCAGTTATGATGAATCAGTCAGACAATTAGGTTACCACTAGCGACTTTCCAAGACCCAATACGTAAAAAGCAAGAGGAAAGATATGACTTAGGTTGCATATAATTAATATTTTACAAGAGCTACAACGGTATTCAACATAACCAGTTCAGAAAAGAAAAAAGCAGAGAAGTACATTCCCTTTGCTGCTGCATTCATCTGAGAGCAGTTTAATAAAAAAAGAAACAAAAAAAGAAGAAGAAGAAGAAGAAGAAGAAGAAGAAAGTGGTGAATTGCAAACACAGCCACAAGCCTAGGTAGTTTTGCAATAAACATAGCTATAGTACTAAGAATCTGAAGATTTGACCAGAAACTAGAAGCAAATGTGCAAAGAATATACTTCAAATTAAACTAGCAATCTTTTTATATGATTTATCAAAAGCAGGTCCAATGCAAATTGACGTTTCAATGCCAGAGTAGCAGAAACCAAATCTTTTTGGTATTTATAAAAATGTCATATGGTATTCTTAGAAGGATAATTGTTTTCAGCTGATTGATGTTTTCTGGAGTGTCAAGTCCCTTTACATGTTTTCATTACCTCCAAAAGCACAATTTTTCACTATAGCACAAAGAAGCCTCAAGTTTTCATGTACGTTTTTCAATTATGGATGGAACAAAGAATCTTTATCGATTAAACAGGACAAAGTACAGCACAACTTTCAGAATGAAAATGCGATCACATAAGACCATCAGTAAAGTATCAGCAGTGATGAAAGAACACCAGGAAGAAAGGGAACAAACCTATATGACCAATGAAAGCTGTATCAACTAAAGAAGCAATTGGGTCAGCAGCTAAGGCCATTGCTGCAGGTATTGCAATCTGTGCAATTTCCACTCCTAACTCGTCCTTCTTGAAAACATTTCTGCACCACACATTATCAACTTCAAATTAAATTTCTATCTAACAAGAGACCTTATATTCCCTCCCCACCTAAAAAGTTAAAAGAGCAACCATCATACAAACAATTGACGAAAACAACACAAGCCTTTTCAAAATCAATCAGTACCTTATGTTCTTAAACAGACCCCATACAGGATTCTCGCCCATATTTCTATGCAGATACAAGACATCATAGTCTGACATGGCTGAGTAAGGGCCTCCAAAGCTTTCAAGCTTAAAACTTGAGTAAAGCTCACCGCATTAACTTCAGCATCCCAAACACCCAAAATGATCAGAAAAGGCTCCAAGTTTACCAAGAACACTGAACTGGGTTCTAGGAAAAAGTGTCAAATAACAGAAAAGGAATTCAATTTCAGCACGAAAACTTTACTGGTTTCTAACAAACACAACAAGAATACGGAAAGAAGAACAAACTCAAAGAATCAAGAACTGATCACCTAATAACTCTTCCTACTTTATGTAACGAAAAATTGAAAAGAATCTTGATTCTTGAATCCACAAAGAGTTCAAAGGAGGTACCCCAGAAAGACTTGGGAAAAAAATTAAAAAACTCAAGTATCTAAGAATGCTTAACAGGCAAGCACTGGAACGGTCAGCACATGAGATGGAGGTTGGTTGGAAGTGCCGGTTTGATTCAGGGAGCGTATAGACCTTCCTCAGTAATGACAGCCCCAGAAAAGTTAAAGGACTTTTAAAAGGGCGCAAGAGAGGCAGGTCCAATATTTTAAGGGGAGGGAACCTTCCACTGTCTGATATCCAAGAAAATCCCCAGCAATTCCACCACCTGTCCTGTGGGAAAATTCCATGCATGTACAATTGGATCGTCAGATGGAAACTAGCAAAAATTGAAAGTGGGTTTAGCATAGGATATCACCTTAAGCAATTGATTGTTCAGAAATGTTTCCAAGAAACAAGCCAAAAGAAAAATCATGCAAACGCGAGTTCTATATTGGAGAAAAAAAATTTTGAGAGCAAGAAATTATATATATCTCGGACTATGATGTGATAGTTGGATTGTTTAATTTCCTTGTGTTTCCTCTGTCACTTTCAAGATGTTATCTGAAAAAGATGTTTGAGTCAATTTTTCAGGTGTGCTTTCCCATATTCGTTTCCAACTTCGAGTGGTGTCCAGAGGATTCATGATCCAAACGCTTTGCACCAGTGATAGTGGCGGATGAGACCCACCCGCACGCAAATTGTTCGGATGTAGTAAGCTAATAGGAAAACAAACTCCATGTTTGTCAGTGTTGTTTAAAATGACGCAAACATCCATAAGGTTCTCTAAAAGTTTAAGTACCAATAATACCCCCAAGGTATAGTTAATAATAATAACCACTTTGCATTTATTTCATGGAGGCCTCTATACCCTTGACTATAAAGTTTTAATTTTTTTTTAAAAAGAAAAAGAAAAAGAAAAACACACACACACACAAGCATACGCACAATACTTTCAAAGTTGTAAAACTCCACAAAAATGAAGCAATAGAAAATTTCAAACCAAACATTCTTTTTACAGCTAGATCCAATCTCTCGGTCCCTGTGGAAGGAAATCTTGAAGGTTAGTGCTTTATTCAAGAATTACAAAATAATTTATAGTCACACGATATTGACAAAATCATAGTTATTAGGAATTTACTTCATTACTAGTATCCAACAACTTGAAAGAGAGGAGGGATGGATTGGATGGTACGGTGGAGGGGTAAATTTGTTTTCTAAATCATTTTGTAAGTTTACGTGTCATTTCATTAAGCACAAAAGCAAAGAGGAGTACTTGGAGGGGTTTTTTTTTTGGAGTGCCAACAATGCATCATTAGTCAAAATTAATTCTATTAATGTGATTCTATTTCGACTGGCACTTGTCCCATGTGATTTGTCCAATCAATATGTTGATTCGAATTTATTTAGTGCAGCGAAGAAATTATTTGCTGTCCAGATCAGCTATTTAATAAGTCTATTAATTGATCTTTAATCAGCGAAAATACTTTAAACATGGTCTTTAAACATGATCTACTATAGCACTCACTAATTCTACATTAAATATGGTCTTAATTATTATAGGGGGGGTCCTTATTTGTCCAACTGAAATAAGGTTTTTTATTGGTCAAAAATCAACAGTTCCAAGCGTAATAAAATTTCTCAAGCATAATATCGGTAGGGCACACTTTATCCGTCCATAATGCTTTTTTTTTTTCCCAAAGAGAAGGTGGTATCGCACTTTAGTTAGACTAATCTACCTCGTAGCTTGCCGAACCCTACCCGAGAATGCAAGCGCAATATCATAGCTAACTTCGAACAGATGACAGATAGGATACGACAACTGTGAGACGAGCCAATTTCGCTTGATTAAGCTTAAAAACTGGAGGACGGCAGGCTACTGGAAATCATGCCCTCCCAGTTTGAGACTAATTTTACCACACATTTACTGCCGTGTCCACACATTTACCACAATTTCCTTTTTTACCGTCACTGCTCCAAAAGGCCCAACAAACTAAAATATGGAGGAACCATCATTGTCAACTAGATACACTTACTAAAGAATAAACACCCAAGATGCAATATACCGATTCTTTTACGTACATTTGATAACATTGATCGCGTGACCAATGAGCAAGCAAGCAACCGGGTTTGAAACATCTCCTGCACTGCAACATCCAGAGAGCCAATGATTAGAATCTTGATGATGCTGGAGACAATTGTGTCCCTCGACCACACGTAAGATTTCATGGCTTGCATTCTTCAGCAGACAACACTGAAACCCCCAAAGAAACATATGCCCCAGATGCAATACATGATTGGGTAGAACACAGAAGAATTGCCTGATGAAAGGTGATCTTGCAGACCTTGCACTTCTAGATCTGCACATGTCTTGCTGTGATCTTAGCAATCACTCTGCAGCCCTGTGCCCAAAACTTAAAGCAAAAAGTACCAAATCCTCCGCACATGCCATTTATGTCTCAAAAATCATATTCAGCAATTATGTAGGTACCTACAGCAGAAAAGACCAATTATGGTGGGATCCAAATACTTTTTCATTGATTTCAATAATGCTGGAATCCATATTAAAAGGACTGCTAAGTATCAGACCAATAATATAAACTACTTGTAGCATCATTCCTTTATTTACCAAAAAAAAAAAAAATCATTGCTTTTATCTTTTTGCGGAAGGCAGCCCTTACTTTGTGATGGAACTGCATATTCTAAAGTAAAGGAGTTTCCATTTTATACCTTGATATCTCTCCAGTTCTTTTAAACTCTACAAGCAGCCAGCTCCAGCAAAGACAATTTGAACTCCTGCCTTTTCAAGTTCAGCAAAAACTTTTCGCTTTCTGACAACTAAGCAACTTCAATGCCATGCCAGACTTCTTGTAGAATGCACCAACACTGACTAATACAGAGTATTAACAATTAAACAGTACCTCAGTCTCAAAAAATGGAATATCCAATTGGCTTCATCATTTTGTAAGCAGAATAAGCTGCAAGTCAACAACAAACAGCCATTGCATTTGTAAACTCAAGGCAGCTACACAGCCAACGGTGCTATCTTGCAGATAATTAACATGGTGGACTGGAAGTCTGGAACTTCCAAATCTCATACTTCTGCTTTCCCCAACCTTAAGGAGAGCATCTCCAGCATTAGTAAGTACTCAAAGTTAAAACTTCACAGACTGGTATGCATGAATGAATCAAAAAACTGCCGGGCTATTATTGTTGAAACTCATGGAAGTGAGAAAGGGGTCGGGCGGGGGGTGGGGGAGAGTACCTTCTGGATTAAATCACTCTCACGCTGGAAGTTGATGGATTTTACTTGTAAAAAAGTGCTAAATTGGCCTTTTGATCCAAAAATGGGCAACCTCTCAGAAACAGGGTTCACTTGTTTATTAAAGGCATGAAGTTCCCTACCAGAGAAAAGAGAAAGATCTTGCATGAAGTCCCTCTCTCCTCCTACAACACCTTTCACTCTGGTACCCTGCCAGCCTCAAAATAATCAAGTTCAGCATCTTAATCAGAAGAAATTACTTGACCAAAAGAACATGTTCTCTGAATGGAAAGTAGCAATGATTATTCTTGTTATTGGTCCTTTATTTTTTCAGAGAATGAGATTACCAATTAATTATCACTTAATATTACAAATAACCAATTAGGTAGAAATACTTACCACTTAATATCACCAATAATCACCACAGGAACATTCCCCACCCGAAAAATGATGGAACCGTTTGTTATCTCTCACAATGATTAATCTTCCAGTGCACTTCGACATAAACTTAATAGCTGTGTGACAATCACCACAAACTCGCAAGTTCTTCATAATTCTAATTGGCCTTTCAGGTGGAAAGGTTATTAGTGCAAATGCAATAGCTAATCTTTCACTATGATACCTAATTGCTTCACTCTTCTCTTCATTGCCAACTGCTCGCAACACTTGACTGGTGTCCATAACATAGCCAGCTAGCTCCATTTCATTCTCTAGTTCCCCAAGTTTTTCATAAATTTCCTTAGATTTAAAATGTTGCCTTTCCCCTGCAGCAAATGTATGGACCCTATTTCCTTCCTCAACCCAACTTAAACCAGTTTCTTTCTTCACTCCTCGATCCCTTAACATCTTTCTGGCTTTGGCCGCTTCTTCATACCTACCAACAGCTGCATAAGCATTTGATAACAGAACGTTAAAGCCTGAACTTACTGAACCTAATTCAAGGATCCTATCAGCTGCATAGGCCGCCAACTCGGTATTACCATGAAGTCGGCAGCCGGTCAGTAGAGCTCCCCATACAGATTCTGTTGGTTGAATTGGCATTTCCTTGATAAGCTTCGTAGCCTCCTCCAATTTCCCAGCTCGCCCAAGCAAGTCCACCATGGAAGCATAATGCTGATCCCCTGGCTCAATGCCATACTCCTTCATTAATCCAAAATAGTAGTTACCTTCTTTGACTAGCCCCGCATGACTGCACGCATAAAGCACACACAAAATGGTTATAAAATTTGGCTTCATCCCACAACTCTTCATTCTCCCAAACAACTCAAACACCTTCTTTGTGTGTCCATGTTGAGCACAAGCAATCAACATTGAATTCCACATTCCTAAATTCTTATCAACTGCCTCATTGAAAACCTGACAAGCATTCTCTACAACGCCGCACTTCGAGTACAGAGATATCAAAGAACTTCCCACAAAACTCGAAGAATCACAATTCATCTTCACACACAAGCTATGCATTTGTCTCCCCAACTCCAGCAACGTAGAATTTCCACAAACACGAATCACACTTGAAAAGGTAAAGTCGTTTAAACTCAAACCCCCCTCCAACGCCCTCTTAAAAAGACCCAAAGCTTCATTATCCTCCCCCATCTGCGCATACCCATAGATCATCCCACTCCACGAGACAATGTTTCTCTCAGGCATTTCGTCAAACAACTTCCTCGCATACCCCAATTCCGCACATTTTGCGTACATATCCACCAAAGAACTTCCAACATACACGTCCAAATTCATTGCATTTTTCACTGCAAGACAATGCATTGACATCCCAACATCATGCCTACTCATGATCGCACAAGCCTTAACAGCGCTAGGCAAAATATGCTCATCTGGAGCAAACCCATTATAAAGCATTGCCCGGAAGTACGATAATGCTAAAATAGGCAGATCATTTTGGGCAAACGTGGAAATCATAGAGCTCCAGGTGGTTGATGACTTAAAAGGTGCTTCCTCGAAAACAAACTGGGAGTCAAATGGGCGTTGAAGCTTTGAATACAAGTTGATTAAGTGGTGGGAAACTAATGGAATTATCTGAATCCCAGACTTGACGATGTGGGAATGCAAGGCTTGGCCTTTGAGAAGGGAGCCTGAGCGAGTAAGGGAAAGCAAGAAATTGCATATTATCCTGAAGTTCTCCTGAAAACTTTGCTGGTTTAATGGGTTTTTGGGAGGTTTATAGGGAAGGGTCTGAATAGGTGGTGATGGGCGCGAGAATTGGGGTGGATCTTGGAGGAGAGGGAGAACCATCACAAGGTGGAACTGGAGCTAAAGGCGCTGGTGTTGGGGAACCAACCGTCTGTTCGTTGGTACGGACTGAAGTGAAGGGACAGAGACACAAAATGGAGGGAAATTGTGGAATTTGGATTTGAGGGATTTTCTCATAGTGAATATTTTAGCCTATTATTTGTAATTTTGTATCGTTCGTGTAGTTTAGGAAACTCCCCTTAAACTATAGTGAGATTCACAGTTTATGCTATAATTTTTATCTCACTTTGACTAGCAGTCTTTTTTTTTTTTTCCTTAGCTTTGAGTAATCGTATCCCTACCCTCAGCGAGACTAATTATCCCTACTTTTACTCTGGAATGAAAACCTAATTTAGAACTTTTCAAGACGTTAAATACAAAAGTTGAATTTGAAATCTGTTATTGATCTTAAAAAAAAATAGATCTGTTGTTGGTATTAGCAACCCTCTTACCAATTGCACTAAACTCATGGCTTAAACTAGCAGTCCTTCGTACTAAGCTTTTTTTTTTTGGTGGGGAAGGACTTCGTGGGGTGGGATTTAGTCTGATAGTGGTTCAATGCTCATCGATTCCTTGTAGGTTCATTCATGTCTTTCCCTTAGATTAGGATAGAGTAGGGTAATATAGATAAATTGACGATAACAAAAAAAAAATTCATGGTGGTAAAGTAGCAAAGGAGTGAAATAAAATTATTGGAAAAAAAATATTAATATTTAATTACTTATAAAGAATGGTATACAAAATAATCAAACAAGAAAAAATTCATTAGAAGAAAATGAACAAAAAGATGTCCAAATAACTAGCATGTGAATGTGATTGTAATAAATGAATAATTTATTTCGAAATTTTTAATAAGCATATAGAGTATAATTTTTTTAAATTTCTTATATTGAAAAAATGGACAAAATAAATTAGAATATAATTGATTGATAATTTACTAATTATAAGTAAATGTAGGCATCCTAAATTTTTGGATGGGATGAATTATGACAAATGAAAACAATACAAAGTAATGTCGAATCTCCTATATTTAAAAATAAAATAGTAGTAGAACATAATTTTATGTAAACTTAATTATTTGATGGTACAAAATTTAGAAAAGGAACTAATGGGTGGAAGAAAATTTATTTGCTAAAAACAAAGAACACGACTAAAGAAAAAAAATTCAACATAATGGAGGGATAATTTTTTTCTCTTGAGGAGGTTAAGTAAAAAAAAATAGAGATTTTTGTTTTTTTGTTTTTTTTGGAGGAGGCGAGATGGCAGTGGATGGAGGAGAGAGGAGTTTGGATAGCAAATGTTTTCAAAAAAAAAATTTCACTTGTATCATAAACACATTTGCTAATTCACTTTTTTATATTTTCAACCACTTTTTTATCTCACATACATCACATCACAACAAGTATTACAGTAATTATTTCAAATAATTATTTAGAATAATAATATTCTATCCAAACAAAGTTAATTCACATCACAACAAGTATTACAGTAATTATTTCAAATAATTATTTAGAATAATAATATTCTATCCAAACAAAGTTAATTTACCGTAGTGCCAACCTAACACGACTTCAGCATGCAGCGCTACCAGACACCGAAACTTCACTTCACACAGTCAAGACTAAAATCGCTAAATCCTTTCCCCTTTCTCTTCTTTTCTCGTCTCGTCTCTGGTCTCCCCATTTTACAATTAGCCTATTCGAAGTTCTTCTGCTATTACAGTGTACCACCAAGCACAATAATACAGAATCTGTTAGTATTCTATTATCAATGGAAGAGAAAGAACAACCAGAGTTGATGCTGAAACCGTCATCCTCCAACTTTATAGCAGAATCGAATTCAATGGTATCCGCTACACTGGGCAGAGTTATGCACACGCTACTCGACGCTCGCCCCAAGAAGCTCCAACATGCAATCTCCAATCTTCACTCCCCTCCTAAACTTGCCCCTCTTAGCAGTAATCTAACAAAATTTGCACTTTTTTTCCTGCAATAGTGATTTTAACTAAGTTAATCAGTTCATTTACTTGTTTTTTTTTTCTGGGTTTTTTTTTTTAATTTTCAGTTTCTTTGGAGCAGTCATTGTTGTTTCTGCATAAGTACGTTGGGGATGCTGCTGAGAAGGAGGACACATTGGATGAAGTTCTTGTTCCCATGATTGAACATGTCTGTTTGGGATTCTTAGCTTCTTGTTTTCAAAATTTTGAGCTTTTTCTTGAAATTTTAGCCAGTTAAGATTAATATGATCTACTGGACCTCTTGTCTCGAAGATTTTGTATGCAAGAAAATAGAACTTTAGCTTAATTCTTTAAATTGTTATCTACACACTTTTCTACTGGTTCTTGGGGATTTTCTACCATGTTGTCTGTTTATCTGATTCTCGATTGATATTTAGCTTAGTTGTAAAAATTATGTTATCATTGTATCCAAACAATGTAATTCTGGGAAATGTTAATTTTTTCCTTTCATGGATAAAAGAAGATATTCCTGTACTTCAGTTCATCTTTTTGGTTTTTCCTTAAGCCTTTTTTTGTTTCTTTGGTATTTTAATCGTAGTGTTTTAATCCATTCTTTGATATGTCTATGACATCCATTTATTAACATTCTGTTGCGGTGTGTTTTATATGTTTCCTCTGACTTTCTCCCTGCAGTATTTGAAATTTAGGGAGTCAAGACACGGCAATCAGGCAATGGTGCTCCTCAATTGGCTTTTTCAAGATGAAGTTCTTTTCCAGGCTCTTGCAAGTAATCTAGCAGAGATTATATTGAGAAAAGATGACCATTATATTGCCTTAGGCTGGTGTTTTCTTGCACGTGATCTCATACAGTATGAGATTAGCATGAATAAGCTTATGAGCAATGGTAAGATCATTATTAGGTGATTGATTTTCTAAAAGAAGCATATTTTTGTTTACCTTTATTAGATGTTTACTACAGTTGTTCGTTTTTCATGCTATACTCGTATCTTAATGTAATTGCATTTCCTTTGTTTGATGACATTGGTGGCGCATTTAGGCCTGCTGTTCAAAGAATGGTGGTGGAGCTAGATGTCTTTGCTGGCTGATGAGTGATGTCTGTGATTGTTAATTCTGATTGTTAAATATGAGGATTGAGGCGACAGTGAGACTAACTTCATGATGCATGATAATAGGGTTTCAGATTGCTGTAAATGTTTAATACCAAATGGTTTCAGAATAGTAATAAAATGATACAAGAATAAAATAAAACGAAAGAATTGAAAACAGATGATGTCCTTACTGGAAGGGTGTTTGGTTTTGTAGCCATGCTGAAGTTTCAATGCACAGCAAAGGGTTGGGTTGTAAAGTAATAATGAGAGAATCTAACAACTCAGCTGAAGGATCCAAAGTTGTGCAAAAAGTCATGTAAACTGGTTATGATTGGACTGTTATTATTTAAAGTTACAATGGCCATGCCATTGTGCTTAGCATCATGCAAATTTGAAACTCATTTTGATGACTGAGATACCTACTGCACTTTTTGCAATTGGTAGAGCCATAGAGTTTTTTATCAAAAAAAAAAAAAGAGCCATAGAGGTTAATTTATTTTCTAATGCAGGAATACGGGAGAAGTACACAGCACTATTGAAGATTCTGTGTTCGTGTATCAGACATCTTTCAACCCTTATAAGCAGCGGAAGGTATGCTGTATATCCTATGTTCAAATGCTTGAGTGGCAAATTTATGTTAAATTCATTAGCTTTTGTGTAATGAGTTGTAATTGTAATGTTTGGGCACTTTCTTTATAGCACTTTGCAGGGAGGATTTGAGTTGCCAACTCGACTTGCAATTGCTTCGGCTGATTTTATTTTGTCGCTTACAGTAGCACTTACAAGGAAGGATCTGGTATCTGACTATAAGAAGGAAAAACTAATTAGTTCAAATTCTCAAGGTCGACCAGTTTCTTTACTAAATGTTGATTCTGATGAGGAAAAAGTGAAGGCAGACACAAAAGCTTCAGTAATCTTGAAGGACATGGGAACAAAATTGTTGCTTTGGGATCATATAGATGACCTGATTGTTCTTGTTGGGAGGCTTAAAGCAGTATGTTTTCAGCTCATTTTGCAAACGGCAAATTTTTATCATATCTTGCCCATGTTTGGTAGTTTTTTTGCATGAATCTGTGCTCTTTTTCATCTCTACTTTTTATGCTTAGTAGAATATAACAAATGATTTGAAAAGTGGTGCTTTAGACTTCTGAAAAAGAGAACATAAAATTTGAGAAGATAGCATATGATGTTTTTGAGATTGGCTGATACCTGTACGGGTGCATGTTTAATGAATCATTGATGATGAAGTGCCATAACATGATCATGTTAAAAGATGGCATATGAAGTTCTTAATTGCCAAGTTCTGTATGGATGCTTGTAGTTTGTAATTGTTGAACATCAAGAACCATGCTATGGAACTGTAGATTTTAATCTACAAGTTCTGGATGATGTCTAAGTCTTCTGATGGGAGGATCATTTTCTTCACTAGCAAGTTGTTTGATATACTTGTTAAGTAATTTGTTGAGGAATTTGGGCTTTGATTGAAATTATAAAACGGTTTATGAAGTTTTTAATTGAAAACTTTCATGCTATAATATGATATATGTATTTATTAGTTGACAAGTTCTGTCTGATGATTATAGGGCATTTGGTAAAACTGAAAATAGAAGGCTGAAATCTGACACTGAAATTTAAGTGCTGGAGTATTAATTTTCTAAATTCATTAAGTCATATCTGTTTGATAACCAGCTGAATTGCAAGCATATAATATGGGTTAACACCAATTTGATGCTTGTTTTTATATTAAATTAGTTTTGTTTTGATAGTAATTTTTTATACCAATAAATTAAATACTAATAGATAAAAAGTTTGTTTGTTTAAGATGAGTATGTGTTTAAAAATGTGTGTTTTGAGAGAAGAAAAATGCATGTTTCTGTGCATGAGAGGGAGATTATGTTTGAAAGTGTGTGTTAGAGAAGGAAATGTGTATTTCTGAGAGAGGGAGAAGAGTATATGTCTATTTATGAATGTGTGTGTGTGTGTGTTGGGGGGGGGGAGAGAGAGAGAGAGAACCCACATTTGAAAGTGTGTGGGCGTGTGATATAGTATTTT